GCAGGGCTGCGCAGCTAGATTTGCACTGAGGCTCTTCCCATCTCACCTCACCACACACCCTTGCAGCGGGAGGATGTAGGGGACGTCATCCTTGCTTTGCCGGCAGGATGGAGAATTGCCTCAGCTGATTGAGCTTGTCACAGGCCTCCCAGCTGTCTCCAGGTGATAGGTTTGGAGCCCCAGGCCCCCCAGGTCAGAATCTGTCCCTTCTACCTAATATTGCCATGTGACTTCGGACAAGGCAGTTAGCCTCTCTTGGTCTCAGTTTCCTGGTCTGTAAACATGGGGTTGATCTAGATGACCTGAATGACCTTTGAGATACCTTTCTGTTCTAAATCCCTGATCGTATTTTCCATGATCCGGTGGAAGTTTCCAAAGATGTTGAAGTCTGCTGGATTGGCTCAGGTCCCCAGAATGATGATGGAGATGGAGAATAGGGTACAGTTGCTCTGTGTTGCCTTTGCGAGTTGGACTATGAGTGGGGGTGGGTCAGACTTGGGGTTGAGGTAAGGTGGGGAGCTCCTTTCCTACTTCCGGCCCCTCCTCAGGGGGACGTTGAGGGTTCTGCCTCACAGGCCTCCTCAGGCAAAGCTGGAGTAACCATTGGGTGGGATTGTTCAAGTTCATGTTAGACCAGATGCCCATGGAGGTCCCTTCTGCTCCCCCAGGCACGGCTGCTTTGAGCCTCTGTCCTTCAACGCCTTTTTCTTCATCTTATTTAGGGTGTTATGGATGTGAAAGAGTTCTCAAAGCCCTTTTATGCGTGATCTCAGTGGTGCCTTGCAACAGCCCTTGTGGAATAGACGTTGTAGCTCTTGTTTTTCTCATGTTATATATGGGACACCTGAGGTTCTAAGGGAGAGTGAGTATCACAGGCAAGATTTGAACTCCTTACTCCGAGGTCCAGCATCACTTCCATGGTGGTGTATGTCCTTGTTAATAGGATTACCTGTTCAGTAATTAATTATATTTGGTTTAGCGAAAGGAGCATGTGGGGAATTTAGGCTTCTTTGCTGCTGAATTCAGATGCCAAAGATTTCTTCCTTCGCTTGGTCTGGGAATGGGTTTGTCATGTTTAATTGATAAACTAAGGGGAATTTGTCAAGGTCTGGCCATCACAGAATGATGTCGAACAAAGGCCTCATCATTATCCTCTTTGGGGAGGTGGAGAGAGACACACCACACGGTCAGGAGAGAGTGAAACCCTCTCACGATTCACGTGCGCTCTTCTCTTTTGATGAGTTTGAGGTTAAATTGGGAAATCACGCTCAGTGCCTCGTTTACCACTGTCCTAGAAAAGAGCCTCTCAGTGGACTCCTGGAGGGTTTGTAATTTCTGACTGACTGTGATCTTATTGAAATTCATTCCATTGGTGACGTGCCATTCGTTCTGTAGTACGAGGGCAGATTATAGGTCTTAGCTTTGAGATCTTAGCATCATTGGATTTAGAGATGCGCCCAATCCAACCCATTCTTAACTGGCAGAGGAGACCCCTCCCTGGCCTTTGGGTAGCCAATGCTTCATGGTCTTCACGGGAGGGGCAGTAAAATCTCAGGACAGAAGAGGGGCTGCCTCAGTTCACCAAGATCACGTGATGCTAGAGGGTCAGGTAGCAGTTTTTACTCACTGCTCTGCTGCTCAGTCCTGCCATGATGGATTCTGACCCTTCTGCTCAATCTTAGGCTTCCTGTTCAACTTTTCTACCTCTGTGTTGGCCATATTCTAAAACTCTTGGCTATCCTTTTGTTTGGAGGGGAGTTCTGTGTGATTCTGTTGACTTCTTTTTCCCGCATCGGTTAACTTTTTAATTCCTGTTTGGCATTGATTATTGTTGAGTTCCAAATCTGAATTAGCATTTTATCATTGTAAACCACTGTGTGTGTGTGTGTGTGTGTGTGTGTGTGTGTGTGTGTGTATTTAGGCATCAGCTTATTGGATCCTTGTCTTTTCTTTATCAGAGCATTTCGTTGCAATGAGTTGTAGAACAAGTCAATTTAATTCTATAACTTTGGAACTTTGGACCAACTTAGCTAAGAAAAAATATTTTAGAATAAGCTCTTTGTTTTTAGCCCAAGAGGCACCAGAGTTGCAGCAGCTCATGATCCAGTTTGTCTTTGCTCCCCTCCTTCTGACAGAAAAATGTTCCCTTTTACCCAAATCAGCTGAGTGGGCTTACTGGGGATCAAACAATGAACACAGCTCTCATAGAAAGGATGCTCAGATTATGCAAAAGAAGCCATTATTTAGTTTAAAAAAAAAAGATTTCATTTCACCACATACCATGTTTTTTACGCTGACATTAAGTACAGTTAGGACTCAATAACCCTTCTTGGGGTAAAGGGAAAGAATAGAAGAAAGAAATAAAACAAAGAAGCCGCATGTAAATGTTACTAAGTAATTACAGCTTAGAACTTTATAAGTCAGTGTGGTATCTTTGCCACAGGTGGAGCATCCTGCGTGCGGGGCTAGGAAACGCTTTGTTCTCTGAGCTTTTGTGAGCTCCATGTTCACCTTGTCAATGTAGCAGTGACTTTGTGATTAATATTCCTATTAAGAACCGAGCTGATTGACACTTTCTTCTGTGTTAGATTAAGCAGGCCAACATTCTGGGTGGGGCGAGGCATCTGTGGTCTCTCTGATCTGGGTACTTCCTTCCGCTGGGATGGCCAGTTGGTGCTGACTTGGTCTCTGGGAGTTCTCACGGCTAAGGTGGTCATGGCCTTAGTGAGGCTGCCCGACAGGCCATTGGTGCCTGTGCGGTACTTGAAGTCTTTCTGCTCTTGTGGGACAGACATGACTGAGGTCTAGTCTTTGGGAAGCCATGGTCATCCCCATCATGTAGTGGTCACTACAGTCTGGGCATCTTCGCAGTCATCACTCGTCTTCAGTGTTTTTAAGAACCACGTGCATATAGATTGAAACCTCTGTCCATGTTAAAAGGGACCTGAGTTTCATGACTTGTTGTGGCCTAAAACAAGGCCGTTGACCTGACATCTCCACCTGGAGAAGTCTTATTGTCTTGTCAGCCATAGGCAGGGTCCACTCTGACTTGCTGGCAGCCATCTGGGCTCTGGGAGCAGATGTCGAGCCTCGTCTACATTAGCCTGACTTTGTCGGTGGTGCCGGCTCACGCAAGGTGAGCTCGCCGTCACCAATGTGTAGCGGAACCTTTGTGCCCCAGGCCCTCTGACCCACAACACGACCCGTTTCAGGAGTCATGTAGCCCAGCCCAACCAAGAAGCCATCAGATCCTCCGTCGATGATGGTAATGGCGTCCTCTGATGGAGCCCGTGAGTCGTCGGGGAACGCTGCTCGCCTCTGAACACTTGCACCTCTGAAGCTCACACTTCTTTTCTTGAGCTTGTTTAAGGCTTGAGTGTGGCTGATAAGCAGAGGGGTTGGCAAAGTCACAAAGATGAAAGGAAGAAAAAATGAGGAAAATACGTTTTCAATGGAAATAATGCATAGACTTTTTTAGCATCTTTTCTGGTCATTTTGTCTAGTTTTTCACTTTTGTCTAGTTTGTTTTTCCTTCCGAAGAAATCATGCGATCCTAGTCTCATTCTGGAAGCAGTTCTCTTCTCCAATGCCTTCGTTTTCCAGAGGAGGAGTTCTGGTTCATGGGCTGCAGAGGATGTGTGTGGGAGGGGGCGTCACAAAGTACAGCCTGGCAGGTGGGGGGTAGCCAGCTCATGAAGGGCCTTGCATGCCAAGCAGAGGATTTTATATTTGGGCCTGGAGGTGATGGGGGTGAGCTGGTCAGACCTGGGCTTTAGGAAAGTCCCTTTGGTGGCTGAAGAGAAGGTTGGACTAGATTGGTAAAACACCTGAACCAGGCAGACCCCCCCCGGCAGCTACTGCCATAGTCCAGGGGTCTGCGCTGGGGGCTGGCAGGGTTGGAGGAGGGAAGCGGGGCGCTTGAGAGATGCTGAGAGGTGAAACATGCCGGTCCTGGCAACAGCTGGCGGGGAGGGGAAGATGGCACCAGACGGTGAGCCCCAGCACCTGGAGATGATGTTGCCCCCATGCTAGTAGGGAAGGTAGGAAGAGGGGAGAGTTTGGGAAGAAAGGAATAAATTCCATTTTGGATGTGTTGAGTTTAAGATCCCACAAAGGAAATTGAGGAGTGGTCAGCTAGATAAGACGGGAACTGGACAGTGCAGTGAGAAGAGAGTGTCCGGGAGAAGAGGCTGCAGAGAGTTGGAGAAAAGGCCATTAGAGTTGCAAGTTAAGAGATCGTTGGTGACTTGGGAGAGAGTCGGAAGCCAGGCTGTTGGGGTCTCAGCTGCCAGATTTTCCCAAGGTGTGGTGGGTCTGATGATACCTTCCAGCACCCCTTCCCATCCTCCTTTGGCTCGCTGTCACCCCCAAGATCAAGTTTGGAATGTTCTGATTGGCACTGGAAGCTCTTCCCCCCAACCCCTTCCCGCTTTTCCAGTGTTTGTACACCTTATGTCCCTCCATGTCCTCTGGTCGCACTAGCTTGGACCTCTTGCTGGGCATTGCATGTGACATTCCATCTCCCAGTTGTGCCCTCTCACTGCCCCCCTGGCCTGGACCCCCCTCCCTCCTCACTGCTACTGCTTGGTTTCCTAGGCCTTCTTCAAGGGTCAGTCAAATCCTGCCTTCTGCAGGAGCCCTCTGCGCTCCCACTTTGGGCCTACCCCTGAGACTATCTTTCTATGTCTGGAGTAACAACAGCTGTCAGAGTTAGGAACACCTGGGTTCTAATCCTGGGTGAGACACTTACTACCTTTGTGACCCTGGGCCGTGTTTCCTCATCTATGAGATGGGTATAATAATTGCACTAACATCTCAAGGTTACTATAAGAATAAAATGAGTTAATGCGTGTCAGGTGCTTTGCAAATCTTAGGGTGATATGTAATTTTAAATTATTGTTACTGTTGTTATGGCCTTTTACTGTAGCCATTAAAAATAGGATGTCCACTTAAAATCCCATCAGAATCTGAATTCTTCTCTTCCAACATATATTTTAAAGTTTTACTGCTGGTTCCTTGACCATCATTCCGTGGAATGAACAGAAACATCGTGATAAGGACTGGTGTGAGGAGTCAGAATGCAGGTAAGTCTGTACTGAGGGGCACTGGGGGGGAGGGGCCTGGCCCCGAGGAGGCCCCAGGCCCAGGTCATGGCTTGTGTCCCTTCCAGGGCCCCGTGACTCAGGTTGGTGACTCTCCCTGGGCAGTGGTGGCCATCGCCTTCACCGGGGCCCACGTCCAGCTCGTGGTCTAGTCTTCACGGCTGTTGTCACATGTTTGGCACAATGTGTTTCTCCATTGTTAACCTTCTGCCTTCCTACAAGCAATTTTCAGCCCAGTGATCCTCCAAGAACATCTCGTAGAGCTTTGCCTTTGCCTGTTTGCCCGTTGAGGATGTGTGAGAAATTGGCATCCATTGAGTGTGTTTCCCAGCTGGGGTTGTGGGGGGTGTCTTCCTGGGTGCCCAGTCCTTGAGCGTATTCCTGCTCACCAGCTTCCCTTCCCTTTGATCAGAAAGGCGAGTGCAAAGTGGGGGATCCTTGCTTCTCAGTGAAGCAGTCCTGGTGAGTCATGCCAGAGGCAAGCCGTGTGCCCCGGTCTGCCCCTGCTCTCGACGTCTCGTTGAGAGGGAGCCCATTTCGGAGGGGCCGGGCTCTTAGGTCTGAGGTCGAGCCCAGGCCGGACTCAGCCAGGAGGCGCTGCCCCTTCAGAAAGCCGCTCCGTCCCAGTCCTGCTTCGTAGAGCTAATCTCCATGGTTTCAGATCCAGTGATACGGAGCCTGAGCCAGAAAGGTGGCCCACGCACTGAGTCCAACACAGACCCATGGCTGGGCAGGGTCCAGCCTTTGCTCACAGCCCCCCCCACAGGTCCGGTGAGCCCCCCCGCACTGGGCGCCGTTCTCCTTGGGAACAGGGACTTTGTCCTGGGCTTCCAGACTCGACTGGCCTCTCGGCAGCTTCCCCCAGCACTGCGGGCTCCCCCCGGGAGGCTAAGGGGCACAAGGTGCATCCCTTGTTAGCAGAGAGATCCCACAGGCTGTGAGCCCTTCTCGTCGCCTCCCTGCATTTCTTCATTTTGTGGACTCTCGACGCGTTCTACTTCTCCCCGCTTGGTGCATTTGTTCTTTTGATTTGAGATCAGTTGGATAGGTTGACTTGGGAGTTAAACTTTCAAGATTCCCCAGGAAATAAATGCCCTTTAGATTCACCAGGCAGGTTGCTTCTGCTCTGAGCCTCAGTTTCCCCACTTGTGAAAGGGGACTGGCACCCAACTCCCAAATTGTACATAAATAACTTTTCAAACATGGAATTGTTTTGTAAATGTTGCTCTTTTTATGATTAAAACATGCTTCAGCTCAGCAATTCCTTTATTGCATGACCTTTATTGAGGGCATGCCGTGGGCCAAGCCTTCCACAGGGCATGGCTGTAGAAACTCTCGTCTTTTACTTTTCCTGCTTTCTTTCCTCCTTACAAGCCTGCTGGCCTCTAGCCCGGGAGGGCCAGGGATGCACTGTGCCCGTCCTAGAGGCGAGGAGCCTGGGGGCTGAGATCCAGTAGGCCGGCTCGAATCGAGAAGGTGGGATGTGTTGCTTTACGTCGGACTCCGTCTCCCCATGTTTCTGTTTGGCCTTTCAGAATGGCGGTGGAGCCGAATCTCCAGGATGAAGGTGGATTCTTGTACGAAGCCCAGCCCGAGTTATTAAAGTACCGCACCGCCCACCTTTCCATCGATCTGGTCACCAAATGGTACTGCGCCCGAGGAGAGGACATTGAGCACTACGCCCGGCAGGTGAGGCTGGCTCCGAGGCAGCCTTTTAGCTTGCTGGGGTGGGGCTCAGGGCTTCTCCTCCTCAGGCTTTCTGTTAGCTGTGCTCTCTGAGGACCTGGGGGCCCCAATGTGGAGGAAAGGACCCTCTCGCACCAGAGCTTCCCAGGGCAGCAGACTCCGCTGTGGGAAACAGCGCTCGCCCGCCTTGATGCTCTCCCTCCCGGCTTCCTCATCTGTATCACAGCCTAAGAGCACTTCATTTCTAGGGGCCGTTGGGAGTTTCAGTGAAATACTGCCCAGAAGGCGCTTCCTCAGCCCTAACGTGAGCTCGAAGCACCAGGTGCGAGTTCTGCGCAGGTCTCCTCAGTACTTTGGGCCTGGTTTCCTCTAGTCTGGGCCTTTAACCCCAACGCCTAGGTGGATTCGTGCGGCCCTGGTTGTTCTGCTTGCTTCCTGGAATCAGGGTCCCTCCTTGGGGTTGTAGGGCTCATCTTGTCCCCCAATGGGAGCTCTATGCCCTGGGAGCTGGCTTGGCTTGCTAAGCCTGAGAGAGATGGAGGTACCAGGGTTGCGGCGGACAGGGCCATTGGATGTTTGTGCTGGCCAGGCTCGGACGTGGAGTGTGACTGCCGGGCTGACCAGCCTGGAGGAGTAAGCTGACGGAGGTCGCTGACTCCTCATCTCTGCGATGGAGCCTGGCACTGGCGTGGGCTGTCACCTGGCAGCCTGGTGTGGAAGGGCCATCGAGGTCCTCTAGTGCAGCCCTCATTTTAGAGAGAAGGGCGCTGAGGCCCAGAGACAGGAGGGCATTGGGATTTGAACCCAGGTCTCTGACGATGAATACTGTGCTCCACGGTACAAAGGAAAAGTGAAGTGGGCAGCTTTGGACAGGTGGTGTTTCTGGGGCTCCTGGAGGGGTGTGAAACACGGGACTGTGGACCCTGGAGAGTTGTGCTCCTCTGGTGTTCGGATGAGCAGGTGGCCAGAGATGGCAAATCTGTGCTCCAGGCCTCTGGGGTCACTCTGGCTCCAGGGCTGGCCTCTGTCTCCAGTGTGTTCCAGCTTAGTAATGTTCTTCTTCTCAAGGGCTCGGGATGCTTTTCTTTGCCGCAGTTACAGGTTATGAGTCCGCAATGGCTGACAGGAAGTTTGCTTTCATTTTTAGGAATTTCATGGGATTTCTTTTTCTTGGTGTCTACAAATGGCTGATTCGGGAAAATGTTTGTGGCGGCTGCATTGGCCATAGAGGGTTTTTTGTGGGGCCAGGGAGGGATGATGTATAGTTTGGTAAGTTGCACCAGAGCAGAGCGCCATTTAGCGTGCCCAGAATTCAATTGATTCTTGAAGATGGGCTCGCTTGCACAGATATGGGGATAGACTAGGTTTGTCGAAGATCCCTGAGGAGATCTGATTTGGGCCACAACAGAGATTGCTGTGTGCTCAGGGAGGGGCTTAACAAACGCCGGATCAGCGAAAGGCATTTGTTGTAAGGTTCGGTTGGGGCAAAGGCTTCTGGGATGGCGCTGTGGTGAGACCCCTCCTCTTTGTTCTCGGATGCAGGTGGACTGTGCCCTGTCCCTCATCCGCCTTGGGATGGAGAGGAGCATTCCTGGTCTGCTGCGCCTCTGTGACGATCTGGTTACCCTGGAGACCTTAGTGTACGAAGCAGGCTGTGACCTCACCCTGACCTTGAAGGACCTCCAGCAGATGAAGCCCATTGACCAGCTGCGGCTGTTGATGGAGAGGGTAGGTTCCCTTCCCCCTTGGCCCCGGGGCAGCTCCCAGGCCACCTTCCCTGGCCCTGAGGCCCCCCAACATTGGCTGCTCACGACATTCAGCTTCCTGTGGGATGGGCGCAGGTACCTGCGTGTCTGGCCGAGAGCCAGCAGCTCTCCCATGGCGGGCGGTCTCTCCTCCCGGTCTTGTTTCCCTGCTTTGTCGATGTCCCTAAGAGTCCCGCCCGGGCTCACAAGATCCAGGGGTTCCTGAAATCAGTCCCTCCACATACAAGAGTGGATCGTGGAGGAGCATACTATTGCTGCCCGTGGTCCCAGAAAGGCAGGCGTGGCCTCCCAGGCCTGGCTGTGAAGGGACCTCGGAGAGCCCCGAGAGGCCAGCGCCAGCCCTCGTGTTTGGGTCATGCAGGGTCCAAAGAGATTGGGAGACCTTGTGCCTTGAAAGGGGGACTTCCCTGCTTGTCGTGCCTGTGGGGCAGCTCAGGGTCACTCGGCCTCAGGGGATCATCGATGAGTGAGCACTGCGATTAATCTGGAAACCAAACGGCTATTCCCTGTCCTTGCCTGTTTCCCTTTGGGCCAGTGGAGTCTTCTGGGGCAGGTGGCAGAGGAGGCCCTTCTGACCCGGGCCTAGTTATCCCTGTTGTCATCTGAAACCTCCCCCGGGGTGTTCCCTGCTCTGCCCCTTTTTCTGCTTTACTTGGTTGCTGCAGAGGACCTGGAAAGGGGAGGATGTGGGGCTGTGCTCCTTGCTTTCCTCCTTGGCTCATCCCAGGGGTTGTGGTATTTGTGGCTTTCCATGGATGGCACCTTAACTTGATGGGGTGGGAGAGCTCAGTCTGATGACCACCCCTAATCACCATTGGCTTCTCAGACTCTTCGTTCTTCGGCCGTGCTGGGCATACTCTTGGGGACTGTAAATCCCCACCCCCCCCCCACTTGTCTGCAGGGGACGCCAGTCTGTCCAGAGCCCTTGGGCTCAGCTCGCTGCCCCGCTGATGTTATGGTGGCCCCGGCAGCATGGCCAGGCTTTACCTCCCTCAGTGGGGAGGATTCTCACCTGGTACTGACTCCTTTATAATCTTGGACGGTGGAGCCCTTCCGTGACTGTAGACAGCCTGAGTATTTCTGCTCACTCTCCGTTCTTTGGGGGAGGGCACCATCTCCTCTGAGGGACCGTGGCTGTTCTTGGACTCAAGTCCGTGCTCTCCAGCTCACCCCCATCAGCCCAGACAAGTGGCGATTCCCTCTCGGTAGCCCCAAACACCAAACCTGGAGTCCTCAGCTCCCTGCCTTCCTGGGAACACCAAGCAGACCTGTGTTGTTTGAGCAGCGGCCAAGCACTCCACGTGCTACCCAAGCTCCCCCTCCCTCTGCACACCTTCTGTAGGTCAGTGCTCTGCACAGCTCCCACCTCGCTGGAGCAGAGTCCTGCACGACGGAACGACCCTTCACTGGTTCCCATAGTGGCCCCATTGCTAGTTGGGGCTGTGCCAGCAGCATCTCCTGGGTGTTCGGACCAGCTTGCCCTCCCTGTCTGTGTCCCAGGGATGCCTGGGCTCTCCTGCTGACCCTAGCGAGGGTGGGATGGGGTTGCCTGGCACCCCCTATCTGCATTCTGCATAGGACAGTGGAGAGCACTGAGTCTGGCTGGCAGCCTGCTGGGAAGGGAGGGTGGTTTTGGTCATGGCTGTTGTCAAATTGTACTTGTAGTCTTCGGAGGAGAAGTATGTGACCAATGCCTACCAGTGGATGGTGCCCCTCCTGCACCGGTGGGAGAAGCAGTCCCCAGGCGCAGCGAGCCAGCTGCTCAGAGACTATTTGGTGACCTTGGCCACGGGGGACCTCAGGTTCCCCCTGAAGATATTCCAGCATTCCAAACCGGATGTAAGTAGCCAGGCTCACAGTCCTCTCGCGGGAGGGTTGGGGTCTACACGTGGCCTTTGTAGGGTCACAGAACGTGTGGAAACTCATCTCAGACAGCCACTGGCCCCTGGGCAGGATCAGATGATCTCTAGTTTTTAGCCTGGAGTCTTGCCCACGCAGCATGCCTTGTGTCTGATCTCTTCACACTCACACTGTGCTCCAGCCCAAGCCCTCTGTTTAATTCCTGTCCCCTCCATTGCCCACCACTCCTGAGCCTGGGCCAGGCCCCATCACCCCTGGAGGACTAGAGGAGTTGGTGGCAGCTTTACCAGCCTCAGATGGTTCCTTGTGGACATGGGGCTCCTTCATAGCCTCTGTCCCCTTCTTCTCTGCAGAATATTCAGTAAGCACTTACTATGTGCTGAGCACTGGCAGTGCAGACACAAGCAAGCAGCCTAGTCTGTGCCCTCAGGGAGTTTGTGTTCTAGTGGGAAAAGATGGCCCATGGAGGAGTAAAGGCTGGAAGGCTGGAGAGCCAGAGGCCCAGAGGGCCGAAGGAGAGGGCGGGCGGGGAGCAGACACAGACAAGGGGAGGTGGGACTAGAGGGAAGGGGGTGCAGCCAAGCTGGGGTCCTTCTTAAAGTGGTAGTCATTTTCCTGCTTATCCCTCCCCAGCCACACCGGCCCGCCCGTTGGGCCCCAGACGTGGCAGCCCCGTGTCCATGCCCTGGCACAGGCTGCCCCCATGGTGTGCCCACCTCCGACTCCTCTTTCCCCAGAGATGCCTTGACTGGCTCCAGTGCCAGCCTCGTGCTTCTGTCTTGCCCCCTCGTTATTTCTTTTCTGTCCCCCTTCGGTTCTCTTGTGCTTACCTGCCTGGGTAGGCAAGCAGAATGGAAGCTCCCAGAGTGCAGGGCTGCTCCCCAGGACCGTCCTTGGGATAGCTGCTCAATAAGTGGCTAGTGAGTTGAATTAAATTAGGAAGTAGAAATAATTGTCATTTCTAGACAGTGGTTGAGGAGCCCTCTGCCCATCCTGGACAGGTTGTGCAAGCCTCTTCAGAATCCTTCAGGGTAGCTCAGAGCAGGGTAGAGGGGGGAGTGTGGCGGGAGAAGGCTGGAGAGGTGAGAAGGGGCCGGCACGGAAAGGGCCACACTTAGTATTTGTCTATGGGGAATGGTGGGGAGCTGCGGAAGACCTGAGTTCAAATCCTGTATCCTTGCGGACAGTCATCCTGTCTCCGTGTCTCCTCCTTCCTGCCGTTGCCTGCCTTGGTCTCTCCCGTCCTTTGTCCTGGCTCTTGCTCCTCTGCCCTTCATTGCCCCTTTCCCATTAGTGAGCTAATTCTTGTCTCTGGAAGAATGGATGCCTCTCTGTCCCATTCCACCTGCTTGGGCCTCACCAGCTGGGACAGCATGGGGGAGGTTAAGAACCCTGGCACTGGAGTCAGAGGGTGGAGGCTCGAGCCCTGGTGGTGCCGCTTCCTTATGGGGGAGACTGTGGGCATCTAACCTCGGAGGGCCTCAGTTTTGCCATCTCTTAAATGAGGGAGGGAGACTCAAGGATTTCAGATGCCTCTTTCTTCTCTCAATCCCGCGATGATATAAGGTGTTTACAAATGATGTTCCTGATTTGACTGGCCATGACAGATGCTTTGGTGCTTTCTCGGACCTCTGATCTCATCTACATAGCCATTCCCCTGCCGTGATGATCTCCCCTAGCATTCCCTCATGAAACCATGTTGGACTTCCCTGGCACCTTCCCATAATGCCCCTTTTTATCTCCGTCACATTGTGGGTATTTTTAACCAGTGAAATCTCTTTGTTGTTTTGTTCTCTTCACCATTTGTGTGGTGGTTTCTTTTTGTGGGAACTTGCAAGCTTAGAAATCTGGGAAAACATACAAACAGACAAAAAAACCAAAGGGAGCTTGGAATGAACCAGTATATTTCTTTGTCCTTTCCTTTAGGTAAAAGGACCTCCCCTGCAATGCTACAAATAGTAAATCTAAATGGAGAAATGTTTTATATATGTGTTCTTTAATTTACCAGTTGTCAAAATGCCTTCAAGATTCATGACTCTGCGTTGATGCTTTTGCATCTTTGCTGAGAATGGCCCGAAGCAGCTGTTTTTCTCAGCCTCCAGGGGTGGTCTCTGTGCCTACACTGCTCTGGGAAAGGCCTCTTTTAATGCCATTTTGAGCCATGTTCCAGAATTCTTTTCAAATTGAATTCTTCCACCCTGGACTGTGTGTTTAAATGAATGATTTATAAATAATAATGGAAAAACAATAGGTTTATAATATATGCTGATGTAATTTTAGAAATTATGGGCTATATATATATTTCTAATTTAATCACATAAAAGATAGCTTTAGGGTTGGAAGCATTGCTTTTAATGAATTGCCATTTTAATGCCTTTTGCTTACCCTGATCCATTTCATCCTCAGTGGGTCATAAATTGGAGAGTCTGTTTTCTGCAGACGCAAAGCAGAGAGGTTAGAAATTAGCTTCTCTGACTGGTTCTGTAATTAAAACAAGATTTCATTTAGAATTATTAAGGACCTCAGAAGTCTGTAAGCAAAAAAATCCCCAAAACCGCCAGATTGACTTTTACAGCTGATTAATGGTCCTCGGTCAGGGTCTATGGACAGTACTCTTCCCTAGTGACAAGCTGACGGTAAATCTGTTGACAAATGCTCCAGTGGTGAGCCCGGCGTGCTTTGTTTTCACTAGCTTCAGCAGAAAATCATCCCGGACCAGGATCAGCTGATGGAGGTCGCCCTGGAGTGCATCTATAATTGTGAGCGGGATGACCAGCTCTCTTGTTGCTATGATATTTTAGAGTGCCTTCCTCAGAGAGGATATGGGTAAGGATTCACATGGGATCGCCCGGCCTTCCGATTGTGTCCTTTTATGAGGGAATATGTGATTTGTCAGTCTGGCATTAGAGCCAGGCGGGACCACTAGGTGACTGAATTGTGGCAAATAAAACTTGAATCTCCTTTATGGGGCTCAGGCCAGCATCCCCCCCAGGTCATGTAGTTGGATTTTGGTAAATGAACCCTGCCATTCGCTGCGTGGCTACCAAGGCAGAACAGAGAGAGCCCGGACCCCACATCGAGGAGCCTGGATTCCATTTTGGGAAATCTTGGCAGATCTCCTCCCCTCTGTAGGCCTCAGTTTCCTCATCTGTAAGGTAAGGATGTTGGATCACATGACTTCCGAGGTCAGTTCCAACTCCAGATGCTGTCATCTCCTGAGATTTTCTCTTGTCTTCCCCTTTGGGTTATATTTGATCTGCCAAGATGAGCTCCCGGTGGCAGCTTCCTCACAATGGCGACCTCCTCTTGAGTGTGCTGTGTTGGGGCTTCCTTCACCCACCGCCCCCTTTCTTGGCATTCTTGTCCCCGCACATGAATGACGTTTTCCTTTCTTGGGGCACACCCACATACGCATGAGTCTCCATTAACGAGGGAGTGTTTGCTAAGGTTGGGGCTTTTCCCTGCTGCCCAGGCTAAGAAGAGTCCTTCTTTTTGTGAGGAGCTAGCCTTGAAACCTCCTCTGGTTAGCAGGATCCTGGGAGCCTTAGGCTGCAAGGCCTCAGGCCACATCTTCAGGGTTCCTTTGGTTATTTCCTGAGGATCGCGTCTCAGGTGCCCGAGAGACCCAGGGGGGAATCACCTTAAAGGCCTCTGAGCATCTGGCCTCTTTCAGAGTCTGCTTCCTTTGCGATCTTCCCTCAGTTGACAAGAATTTATGATTGTATGTTGTTGTGTACTACCAGGAAAAAGGCAGGCAAAGGGTTGAGGATGGAGGGAGAAAAGTGAAGTTGTGCCTGCCTTCAGGGAGCTTACGTTCTCTAGGAGATGACATGGCTGTGTGTGCGTGTGTGTGCGTGCATGCAGTATGTAATGTATAATACGTGTGTGTATATATGTACTTTATATTATGTGCATGTGTGTGCATCTATACAGACAGGGACATAGAGAATACACACAAACTGAATACAAGGTAGTTTGAGGGGGGGCGCTTGCAGCTGGGAGGAATCAGAAGGTTTTCATGTAGAGGGCGGTGCCCATGCTGAGTCCTGAAGGAAGAGAGGGTTTCCAGGGGGGTAGCCTGGTGCTGTGGAGACCAAAGATGCTGGCTAAGTGATCCATGGCCGTGGGCCTGGAGTTCAGCACCAAGGACAGGGAATAGCCTTTGTGTGTGCTGGCTCATCTTTTTCACACTCCACTGGATTTTATATCTCATGCCAAATGTCACTAGGAATAAGAACCAGGAACTGAAACTCACTTTGTCTTCCTTTTTCCTTTAATTGGGTAGTCCTAAGACTCTGGCGACAGCTGCTCTTCACGACAGGGTGGACCAGCTGGAGCAGATCCTCAGGTAAGAAAAGCTGCATCCTCAGGGCAGCTAGGTGGTGCAGTGGATAGAGCACCGGCCCTGAAGTCAGGAGGACCTGAGTTCAAATCTGACCTCAGACCAAACACTTGACACTTACTAGCAGTGTGACCCTGGGCAAGTCAGTTAACCCCAATCGCCTTAAAAAAACCCAAACTGCATTCGTTGGCTTGGTGGGAACCAGAGGGCTGCCCAGCCGCCCACTGCTCAGCAAAGCCTGCTCAGACTCTGTGCCTGCCAGCAGTCACATGCAGTTGTGTGAATGAACTGCCAGGTGCCATCCTTATTTTCATCACTTTTACTCACCTGCCATTGTGCTGGGCTGTCCACCGTAAGAAGGAAGTTTTATGGGAATTCCTGTGGCTGACGAGCCAGGACTGTCACAGAGCAGAAGAGTATTAGGAGCAAGAACGAGAAACCAGGGTCTTCACATAGAATAGATGCAGCCTAGGCTTCTGTGCCAGGACATTCCCCGCAATGCCAGGGCCTGCCCTTAAGGATAGGCTTTTTTCAGACCCTTTGCTCTGGAAGATTTCCTCCTCCCCCACCTCCCCCTGACTCCCATCCCCCGTCCCCCGGCCTTCCTTTTCACCGCATCATGCCAGCCTGACCTCGTGAGGCCTGACTCTGGCGTGAATGCTGCTGCTTTATTTCTTTTCCATGCTGGTGGGCTGTGGTTTGTGGTCATTGTTCTTTCCACGGTATAACTTTGGAGCGTGGCACCATGGGACAGCTTGATGGCTGTCGCTCATACTTGGGGCAGTTAACGAGGAGAGTTGGGTTAGTGGGGTGGGCTGTGGATGGGCAGTTAACATTTAGGAGGTGCTTGCTTGGCCCCTCCATCGCCCAGAGCAGGGCTCTAGGCTCCGCCAGAGGGAGACAGGTGGCGGAAGACCCGCGCTCCGGCTTTCCTTCACACCGTTTGGTCTGGATGGGGAGAGGGGCTGCACACTCCGGGAGCCGTGGAACAAAGAAGATCGCGGGTCCCGTGGGCATCCGGGCTTTGGTTTCTCCAACTCGTCACCTTCCAAACACAAATGTGTTTTTGTATTGTTGTGTTTTGGGGGTGGCCACTGTTGGGATGGAACGTCTTTGGTGTATTAGGATAATAACTAAGCAGGGGAGGTGTCACGGAAGCCTGTGGTAACAGAGATCGGACAGTCGTGTGTTAGCCACTGTCCCTAGATGTCCAGCCAGGGCGTGCAGGGGGCGTGCAGGGACCGTGTTTCTTGTTCCCTTTGGTAGCTGCTTGAATATTGTTCCGTGTGTGTGGTGAGCAGGTGCCGTGGCCTGTGCACGCCCTTCACTGCTCTGTTGTTGTGTCGTCTGCAGCGTGTCTGAACTCCTGGAGAAGCATGGGCTGCAGAAACCCGTTTCATTTGTGAAGAACACCCAGGCGCACACGGAGGAGGCCCGAAAGCTGATGATCAGACTGACCAGGCACACGGGACGGAAGTGAGTGACCGGGTCGGCCGTTTATCGGCAGGTTCTGGGCGTTGTCTGCTGGAAGCTGTCCTCCGGCCTCCTGCTGTCTGCGGGCTGGGCTTCTCAGTTTTTGTAGCTTTATTGATGCCTTTTGTTTGTCTGTCACGTTCATTTTGAGTGTGTCCCTTCTCGCTCCCAGGCCTTGGTGAGCCTTCCTTTGGAGCAGAGGTTAACCCAAGGGCATCTTCGGCCTAAGTCTCTTCCAGCTCTGCTTCCTGTGATGCTCGTGCAGCCTGAGGGCTGGGCAGGGGATGGCAGGGCAGGGTTGGGCAAGGTTGGGCTGGGCTGGGCTGGGCAGAGGAGGGCTGGACTGGACAGGGCAGGGCTGGGCTGGGGGCAGGGCTGGGCAGGGCTGGGCATGGGGCTCTGATCAGGTGTGTTGTGTCCATCATTTGCTGTGCCTTCTTTTTGTGCGCATGGTGACAATTCCTTTAGTCTGTGCCATTCCTGGAGAAAATGTCAGTCTTTAGGAAATTGTGCCAGTGATATTTTTTAATGGACACTTAATCCATGTTCCTCAGACATTTTGTCCTCATTACCCCAATCCAGAATCAGTCCAAACCCATGGCCCTACCCAAGAGGTAGAACTGAACCCGTTGGCATTCCCCCCGTCCTGAGAGAAGCAGCAGAAGGTTATGCTGACAAGTGCTTCTTTGGGTTCTGTGCCCCTCTCACGACTGCCCGGATGGAGCATGCCCGGGCCTCAGAGCTCTAACCTTTGTGGGAGTTGGTGTAGGTTTGCAAGAGTGGGCTTGACCATCAGGGAAGGACAGGAGAGGTGGCGGAGGGAGCCCCCATGGGGAGCATTCCCCGGGAGCGAAGGCTCAGCCACGTCCCCCGCGTCCTGAGGCCTGTCTGGCAGAGGCTACGTTCTGCTCCCACAGCGGGTTCTTGATGTGTCTTCACGAGGGTGATGGGTGGCTCTGTCAGTCCCTAGAGGATTCCTAGGAAACATTCATGGAAATGCTCATGCACATGAAGGGAGGGACTTCATTTAAATGCCCATTTCTGGAGTTTATTTAGCAGGTAAGAGCCGGAAGTGAAGGAAGTTATAGAAAGATTGTTAGTGAACTGGGAAAGTTGGTAAAGGAAACCTTTATTGAACCACCCAATGAATGGGCATTTATGAAGCGCTTCCTGTGTGCTTGTGGGTCAGTGAGTGAGCCCTGATGAAGCGCACCTCTCCACACTGAGCATGACGAAGGCACAGCAGTAAAAGCCTTCCTGGTCGTTTCCTGGGGACAGACGAGTCACCAGCATTTCAGGGTAGACGGGAGGTGATCTGTGACGAAGACTAGAGAGAGAAGGGAGCATCTGTTCTGGTGGGAGACAGAGTAGATAGCAAACACTGCTGAGCTGGCACCACGAAGGCTCTGTTAAGAAGGGGGCCCTCAAGTCCTCAGGGACTCAGGTGGTTCCTGGAGACCGGATTGTTGAGGGACTGCCTTTGGGCCTGAGTGACAGCCAGGGCAAAGGCCTGGTGACTGGAGATGAAGCATTGAGCGTGTGTGTGTGTGTGTGTGTGTGTGTGTGTGTGTTTGTTTGTGTGTGTGGAGGGCAGCTGAGAAATATGGAGTACAGGTAGCACTTGAAAGCAGAGTGGGGTAGTAACTCAGTTTCCTTGGCTGTTAAGTGGGCATAATAATATTGCCTACCTTCCAGGGTTATTGTGAAGAGCAAATAAGTCAATATGTGTAAAGTGCTTAGCATGGTGCCTTGCACATAACAGGTGCTATGTAATGCTAGCTATTCATATTATTATTATTATTATTATAAAGAAAGATTAAATTGCTCGAACAATCAGACCTCCTGAGATTTCCATGATAATGAATCAGAGGATTCCAAATTCGGGAGAAACCTCTCTGGCCATAGAATCTAGCCCTGGCCTGAACATCAGCTCACATCTGTGAAGTGTTTGCTATGTATAGGGCACTGTGCAAAGCGCTGGGAATAAAGCAGAAAGAAAAATGGTCCCTGCCCTCAAGGAGCTTCCGTTCTAGCGGAGGAAAGAGCCCAGCACAGGGAGCTGACCTGTGGATGGATGGGGAGGGGAAGAGACGCCGGGTCCCTGGCACAGGGGCTTGGCGGGGAAGGGGCAGAGGCGGGTGCGTACCCAGAGGATGTTGTGGGAGGAGGGACAGCCCAGGGTGGAGATGTAGCCCAGGGGCGGAGTGCTGGGGGAGGCCAGGGTGAGCAACAGGTGCTGTGGCAGGTGGAGAGCAGCCATCTCCAGTACCATTTTGGAAATCTTCTAGCACGTTGTGTGGCATTTCACCAGCACCCAGAAGGTGCTCATCGACAGCCCCTCTCCTCTTCTATTTGTTACGTTCTGGATCCTTGAAAGGAGAACCACATATGGTGGCATCTGGAGGGGGAGAGGGGATGCTGGCCAGCGTTCCAGACCACCCCTACCAGTTTCTCACCTGGAACTTTAAATCCCGAGTGTCTTTTAAAAAGTAAATCCTCTGTTAGCATTCCTTCATTCATGCATTCACTCAGTAGCCTCTTATCCACGGCCTGATGTTTGCCCCGTCTGCCGTGATCGAGGGTCACGTGTAGAGGAATCATATTTCTTTTCTTGTAGACAGCCCCCGGTCAGTGAGTCTCACTGGAAGATGCTGCTGCAGGATATGTTGGCTATGCAGCGGACGGTCTACACGTGCTTGGAACCAGAAGCTTGTTACGAGGTCACTATGTTCTTCCCTTGTATTGGAGCCATCCCCCATTACTGTTTGTTACTGTGAAGTGGGTATAGGGTTCACTGGTCATTAAACTGGGGCGTCTCTTAGTCATTTAGAAGGCATTTAGGTCAGCACCCGAGCCCTCATGCTTCCTGTAGAGAATGGACCTTCTGGCATTTTGTAAACAGCAGAAGCCATTTCTGTGATAGATGATCCCAGCTAGAAAGTCTTCCAGTTGGGTGTTCCCGTGGGGTGGACACCAGCCAGACCCGGGTTGGGCGCCTGGACCCAGGTGGCCATGCTCATTCTGCCATCACAAGGCAGAGGCTGTTGATGGAATGAGAGCCCAGAAAAGCCGCAGTCACGTCTTAATCCGGGAGACATTGAGCCAGACGCACACGTATAGCTAGGAATGGCCGCCCTCCCCTTTCAGTGCGAGGCTCGTTCAGCGCTTGACTGAGCGCCGAGTTCCATTTCCAGGCATCCCTGCGGGCCCTAGATGGCCGCCTCTAGAGTTTTCTGTTTGCACTTAGAGTGAGACTTGAAATCCAATTTCAGGAGAAAAGGATCTGCATGCATTTCATGTCTAGGACAAGGCCGTCATTAGTGTTTCTGAAATGCTGTTATTATGTTGGAGTAGAATGATGCCAATGTTTGTGTATTTGCATATTTTCTTTAATATTCTACACCAAGTGTGTGGGCCTTGAAGAAGTTTCTTCATGGAGTCTTCCGTCTCAGAAACTTGACATCCTTAAAAGTTTAATATTATCTTAAACACTTTTTATTGCAGCTCATAGCCTTAATTGCTTATGGCCGCCAATCTTCATCTCCTGGGAAGGCATTTGAAAGCATATTAAAAGAATTTTGAAAAAGCTATTAAAATGGTCTACAGGAGATGCAATTAGGACTGGAAATGTCGTTTCTTCCCTCCTCCTCGCCCCCAAGCAGTACATTTTAAGTGATTCTTCTGCAGTTTTCCTTCAGGACCTCATAGGTTAATTTTTTGAGGGAGGAGGGAGAGGTGTGAATTCAGACAGAAGGCATTTATGACTGTGTTAGGGGGCCATTTTCAGATGCTATGAGATTATGTTTTTAAGCAGGGTTTAGCAGGGTCTGGCTGTTTTTGTAGAGTTACAAGAGAGTGTGGCGCAGGGAAAGCACACTGGTTCTGGGTTCAAATCCTGCTTCTAAAACCTACTATCTTTGTGACCTAGGGCAAGTTGTTTAACCCTCCTGGACCTCAGTTTCCTTATTTGTAAATTAAAAGAGCTAGACTAGATAGCCGCTCCAGATCTGGGGTTCCTGTCCTGATATGATGTCATGCTGTTCTTGGGAGACTGAAAAGCTCTCCAGTGTGGGGTTCTCATTCTGCTATCTCGGGAGACCCTGGCCAGGGACCCCTGTGGAACGGAGGGCCTGGCTGCTGCCTCTCTGGGGAGGCCGGTCATTTAGTCCTGAGGCCCAGGAGGGGAGCTAATAGGAAGGATTCTCCACTGGCAGGGGGCTGTGTGGGAAGAAGGGGGCTCATGACCATCATGAGAACCTCTCTGCCTCGCTCCCTGCAGTCCCAGAACAGATCTCCATCTTGGTTTTGGAAAGTCTAAATGCAAGCTGTCTCAGCTCTAGGCTATCTAATTGCTGCATATTAATTTCGTGTTAATTGGCCCTATTAGACATCTGGCAGAGCAATCATTTTTGTGAGAAATCCTCATTCATCAGTGACTTGTTTTCTTTGGTAGCAGGTCAGGCAGGCAGACCTCGGTGTGGGAGGTGACGACCGGCTGCAGGTCAGGCAGGCAGAGCTCGGTGTGGGAGGTGACGACCGGCTGCAGGTCGGGCAGGCAGAGCTCGGTGTGGGAGGTGACGACCGGCTGCAGGTCAGGCAGGCTGGGGAGAGGGGTCCTCTTCACAGATAACCCGGTGAAAGTCAGCCCTTTGGTGTTGCAGCTTCCTGCCGGGGAGGAACCTCAATGTTTGGGGCTCGTGCTCGTGAGGCGGGGCGCAGTTCCTCTGGGCCCCGGGGCGAGGCCAGGCCAGCTTGCAGGCAGTCGTCCTCTGGGTTGGCACCTTGGTTTTGCCGTTCTTCCGCCTAACTCGGATCCCTCGTTTGTCCAGATCTTCACAGAAAGCCTCCTGTGCTCCGGTCGCCTGGACACGCTCCACCTGGCAGGCCAGATGATGCAGTGCAGTGCTGGTGTGAGTGGCCCCCCGGGGAGCGGGCCCCACAAAGGGAAGGCTCCCTTCAGGGTCAGCTACGAGAAGAGCGTGGCCTTGGTGCTGGCTGCCAGCCGAGAGTACTTCAACTCCTCCACCAACCTCGCCGACGGCTGCATGGACTTGGCGAGGTACAGGCTCGGCCCCCGCTTTGTTTGGAGGGTCTGATGGGTGTTTGTGATGCTGTGTTAGGAAGTGGGTTCCTCTCTGGCCGCTTCTGGTCCTGGGTTGTGGGGAGACCTCGGCTCCACCCCACACCCTTAACAGTTAACCGGTAGTACTGTGATGCTGGGGTCTTTCCGTGGGCTGCTTGTAGACTGGATGACAGGTGACGTTTGGGAATCCCATTTCCTGGGTATTTCCCATGCCGGCGGAAGCAGCTGTTGGGCTCCGGAGCTCAAAGCGTCCCTGCAGCCCCAGGTAGGGCCCGGGGGCACATTGGGTCCTCTGGCCCTAAGCTCCTAGGTTCTTCTCTGAATCGAGAGTGTGGAGTATTAGCACTGGGGCTCGTTTTGTATCTAAGAAAACTCATGCTCAGAGTTCACCAGTCTGGGGAGGGGCGGCTTATAAGGGGATCCCCTGGGCTGGGGCAGGGAGGGTGGGGTGGGAGATCAGAGGAGAAGGGACCTTTCAGGGGCTGGGCCAGGTCATCCAAAGAGGCTGCAGGGCCTCACCTCCACAGTGCCCGGGCCATGGAGGACCTTTGGGTCAGGAAGTCAGGACCTTGGCTCTCTGGCACCAGTCACTCAATCAGTCAAGCATTTATTAAGCACTGGACCTGGTTTTCTTGATCTTGTGAGCGTGGGGGCCGCTTGGCTGATGCTGACCCTGCTGTGGTCTCGGGAGGAGCTGCTTCCTGCAGGCCCGCCCGCCCTCATGGAGCCCTGGGCTTGGACATGTGGAAGCTCCAGGGCTTGGCGAAGGCCCCGCTGGGAGTCAGCAGCCAGAGCGCACCCGTGTGACTCACCATGCAGGGCTCCGTCCAGGCCTGGCCATTGGCTTCTCTGACTCTTTTGTCTCAAAGGGGTGCGGTCGCAGGTCTCGCCAGGGGAAGTTTCCACCATGGCTTACTTGATACAGTCACGGTCCAGTGTTGGCCTGCCTTTCTCCAGAAGATTTTCTCTATGCTCTAGGGTTAAAATGAAAATGTGGAAACTGCTTGGAGTTTAAATCAGTAACCTGCGATCACCCTAAGGCCTCTCCTCGAAGTTGTAGCTGATTGCCGGGTCCCTCAAGGTCTCTGGACAAAGCCAGCGAAAAGGCCTCCGGGGCCATTTCAGGCAGTCAGCCAGCACTGCTCCGTGCCGGCCGCGGTGGAAGGACGTCCTTCCACGTCCTCGTGGCTCCCCCAGAGCTCCAGCCCCAGGCATGTGCCTGGCTCAGTGGAAGGGCTTCACCCGTGCTTGGTGATTGGTCAGCTGGAGGGAGAGGCTGATTCTTGTTTCCTTCAGTAGTATGAAGGGCCCAGGATGGCGGCACCCGGCTGAGTTTGGGTCCCTCCCTTCCTGGATGGTGGCTCCCCTCAGCAACCCGGCAGATCTGGGCTTCACTTGCATCTCACCCACCAGCCAGCCAGCTGTGTCACTGTCTGTCTCTGGCCCTCAGATTTCCTGTCTGTAGAGTGGGAATGATAGTAATTAAACAGACCTTTTCTTAAGTGTGAAGCACAGCAACATGGAAAGATGTGGAAAGACAAGGTGACAGTTAACTGGGTCCCTTTAAAGCTCCTTTGTAGGTTTCTAGGCCATTCGTTTATCTGAAGACTTTCAAAGTCGTATGACTTTGCAGAGCCATAAGAAGGGTATCATCTAGAAAACGAAGAGGTTGGGGATGGGGGGGCCAGTCTCTTGAGGGCCTCCCTCCCCCAGTTGGAGAGCCTCGCCCTTTCCAGATAAACATGTCACACGTTCTAGTTTATTATTATTTACCCATAAGTAGGGATTACCTGTGTTGTGTGCTGGAGATTGGCTCATAACGGCTCATTTGCCTGTCTTTATTGGAAAGCTTTATTAATTTCTGTGGGCCAAGCAGCTCCTCATCAGCCAGAGTCAGCAGGAAACGACGCCCTTTGCTTTTTCCCAGCAAGGTTTTAAAGAAACTTTATTTTCTTGGATTGATCCCTTCTCTGGGAGATAATCATCTTTTCTCCAACTGTGTTATTAAACTTGACAAAATTGTTTAAAGTACTTAATGTATTTTCCTAGCTCCCTTAAGGGATCCTGTTTTTTCCTTCATATGAAGAAAACACCCGGTGCAATCACCTTTGAGACCCAGGTTTCGGTTTGCTCTCATTATTTTGGCAGGAGGCACTCGGGGGTTCTGGTCGAGCCTCCCCCTGCCCCCTCCCTCCTTCCACCCCTGTCCGTGCTGCTCCCCAGCCCCGGGCCTGCACCGGAGGCAGAGCATCCTTTTAGAAGGAAAGGTTCTGAGGGCTCAGCAGCAGTTTCATGCTCTTCACTGTCTCCCAGTGAAAGCCCCCGGCCCCTTAGGGCAGGGTGGGGGGGACTTTGGTGAATGCCAGCCCACCTCCAGAACCCTCCCCCCATCCTGGAAGATCACAGCTCCGCATTGGGGTTTCCTCCTTGTGTTACCATTCCCGACCCTGCTGGCATCTGCTTGATTTGCCTTCCTGAACTTTTCTTCCTTGACTTCGGCACTCTCCATCTGGTTTTCCTTTGTGCTGCCCCACTGGTTATCTGTCCTTTTCCTCTGTTTCCGGGGAGCCTTTGTAGGCACCTGGAAGTTTGTCAGAAGAGCCCAGGATCCCATAGAATGTGGGAGCTCAGAGGGGCTTGAGAAGCTGCAGGAGAAGGAATAGTCAGTTTGGGGTCCCAGGCTCGGGTCCAGCCGTGGGCCCTGCCGTTTGCTGCTTGGATCACCGTGGGTGGGTCAGTTCACTTGCTTGGGCCTCAGTCTTCTCACCTGTAAAATGAGTGGGTTGGGTGAGGTGGCTGCAGTCAGTGGGAACAGCCTCTTTATTTTACAGATGGGGAAACAGAGGCTCCAAGGGGCAGCATCCTGGGCCTGAGCCCCATGGCCTGTCAGTGGCCTCAGCCATAAACTCGCTGCCCTTCCTTGTTTGGCAGGGTTAGCCATATTCTGTCCCCGCCGAGGCCGGGGCCTCCACGCACAGGAGAGGAATGGGTAGGTGACATTTTTGGAATGAGGGGCAGGGTGAGGAGACTGAGAGTGAGACAGAAGTGTCCAAATCTCAAATCCTAGACCAGCTGCCTTGAAAGGCTTTGGCTTTCTCACACCAGGAGGTCTTCAGGTCTCTGAGGGTGGTCCAGCCAGCCCCACGATTGTCTCTGCTGCAACAGGCAGGCCTTTCGTGTTGAGGGCCCTCTGTGTGCCCAGCTCTAGGAGGACGGCACAAAGAAGGAGAAAGCCTGTGCTCTCAAGGAGCTGGCAGTGCAGCAGACTCATTCTCAGTCAGTCCATCAGTCAGTCACCCCACGCATACTAAATGGATGCAAAATAAAGGCAAGGTCAGAGTGAGAATGGTGGACTAAAGGCAGTAACCCAGCTGAATTCTGAACATTCCCCTCCAAACAACCTTAAAATAACACCTCAAATCAAACTCTGGAGCGGCAGAGCCAGTGAAAAGTCCGGGTGAAACATTTTCTGGCCTAAGAGAACTTAGCAGGTCTGTAAGAGAGGCCTGAGACTGAGGCGGAGGCCCGTCTGGAGCACACACCTGCTGTGGCAGCAACAGCAACGTGAGTGGCTGCAGCAGCAGCAGCAGCAGCAGCTTTGGGAGCTCTCAGTCTGGAGAGGGAAGGGGGTCAGACAGCTGGTCAGGATGAGATGACAGGGGACTTTTTGCTAGCGCTGGGGACAGCCGGTGTGGATTGGCAACTCTATTGCCCACATGCAGTTCTGGGCCACAGTTCCAGGGTGTAGAAGAGTACCTGTCATCAGTCACAAGGAAGCAGGAACTGGTTGCAGTTCCAAGGCAGAGAGGGGCCCTAGCTCTTGTGCCTGCAGGAGAGCCGGGGCCCTTCCTGGGTAAAGACCATGTCACAGACCGAGAGAGCGGGGATGACACCTCCCCCAGGATCACGACACTTGGAAGCACCAAAAACTAGCTCTGAATCAGCAGCACAAAAAAGCCTGATGCTTGGGAGAGTGCCTTCCCACCCCCAGGTGAGCAGAGCCCAACGTTAACATAGAGTTCAAAACTAAGAAATAGGCTGGAAAAAGGAACAAACAACAGCAGCACAGAACCTGACCATGAAAAACCACTGTGGTGGCGGGGAAGACCCGAGACACAAATTCAGAAGAAGATAACAGTGTGGCAATAGCTACAGGCAAAGCTTCAAAAAGAAATGCTGACTGAACCCAAGCCCAACAAGAATTCCAGGGAGAGTTAACAACAGAGATCAGAATGGTAAGGGAAAAGTTGGGGAACAAAATGAGTGATGCAAGAAAATTACAAAAAGAAAATTAATAGCTCGGTAAAAGAGGCACAAAAAATATTGAAGGAAATAACACCTTAAAAAAACAGAACTGGCCTAATGGTAAAAGAGGCACAGAAATTCACTGAAGAAGAGAATTCTGTAGAAAGTAAAATTGGCCAAATGGAAAAAGATGTACAAAGGCTCATTGAAGAAAATGGTTCCTTAAATATTAGAATTGGCAAGTGGAAGCTAATGATTCCACGAGACATTAAGAAATAACAAAACAAAGTCAAAAGAATGAAAAAAAAAAATAGAAGAAAATGTGACATAGCTGATTGGAAAAAAAAAGTGACCTGGAAAATAGATTGAGGATAGGTAATTTAAGAATTGTTTGTCTAGCTGAAAGCCATGATCAAAAATGAGCCTAGATATCATGTTTCAAGAAATTATAAGGAAAAACTGCCCTGATAGATTAGATCCAGAGGATAAAATAGAAATTGAAAAAAATCTACCAATCACCTCCTGAAAGAGATTTCAAAATGAAAACTCCCAGGAATATGATAACCACATTCCAGAACTCCCAGATCAAAGAGAAAACACTTCAAGTGTCCAGAAAGAAATAATTCAAATATGGAACCACAGTCAGGATCCCACAAGATTTAGCATCTTCCACATTAAAGGACAAGTGGGCTTGGAATATGATATTCTGGAAGGCAAAGAAGCTAAGATTAGACCTAAATTCTCAAATATATAGAGAACAGAGTAAAATTTATAAAAATAAGTACCACTTCCCGATTGATAAATAGTCAAAGTTCAGGCAATTTTCATGTCTTTCCAGGTTTTTCTGAAATCTGCCTGCTTGTCATTTCTTATAGCTCCGTAATATTTCATTACAATCACGTACCACATGCTGCTTAGCTATTCCCCAATTGATGAGCGTCGATTCAATTTCCAATTGTTAGCTGACACAAAAAGAGCTGAATAGCAGCTCTTTTTATGGTGTCAAAGAATGGGAAATCAAGGGGATAGGGATACTTATCAATTGAGGAATGACTGAACAAGTTGTTGCGTGTGATTGTGAGGGTGTACTATCGTGCTATAAAAAATGGCAAGGGAGGTGGTTTCAGAAAAGAAAAGGGAAGTGAGCATAACTGGGAGATCAGTGTGCACAGTAACAGCAGTGTTGTAATGATGTTGGCTGTGCAAACCTTGGCTGCTCTGACCAAGGCAGTGATCCAGGACAGTTCCAAAGGACCCGTGAGGAAAAATGCCCTGCAGGCCGGAGAGAGAACCGCTGACCTCCGAGTGCGGACTGAAGCAGCCTTTTCTCACCTCTTCGTTTTGTTGCCTTTTTGGGTAGCACGTCAATGTTTTGTGTGATTTCACGTCTACAGTTGACTTCATGTTTCTTGCCTTCTCCGTTGGTGGTGGAGGGGTGAGAGCGAGGGAGGGAGAGAATTTGGAATTCAAAATCGAAAAAGAAAAGAATGCTAAAATAAATAAGTGACACATTTAAGAGAAGACAGGGTCATCAAAGACAGCACAGTCACGCAGGACGGGGGTCGGGGCAGGCTTCTGGCACACAGTCACCTTCGGAAGCTGGGGACGGGCGATGCCCTGCTGCCCTTGTGACATTGTTGTCTCCTCCTTCTGCGGGCTCCCTCCCACTCACCCAGGGGCAGCAAGGGGAGGCATTTGCCCTTCCTCCCGCCCGACCTGACCCTGTGCGTTGGCCAGGATGTTCCAAATGGGTTTCCCCTCATCAGATGGCTCACTTATTCACTGAACACAGATCCTGAAAAGCCTGCCCCGGGTATCTGTTCAGCCAGCACTTGGCACAGGACTGGACACGTGCCAAGTGCTCAGTCAAGGCCCTTGTGTCTACTGGGCTGCTCTGAGTCCTTCTGTGAAGCCTCATACCGGTGCAGGGGGGAGCTTGGGTTCGCAAGCTGCTGAAGGGAGGGCCTGGGAAGCCAGCAGAATCTCCAGACCAGTCCAGCGAGAGGCTTGGCTTTATGCCCCTTGTCTAAGGACTAACCTAACTAATTTTGGAGATGCTGATCACGGTTGGTTTTTGGCTATGACAACTCACAGAAATCATCTTTGAAGAGGTGAAATCTGTCTGTGGAAGGACAGTCCCACACCACAGTGCCTCAGAAGTCTGAATTAGGGAGGGGTCTGTGAAGCCTGTTTGAGATGCATCCTTGGCAAGGGGCCAGGAGAGCTAAGCTGTGGTCCTGGCCTCTGCTTCAGTCTAGCCAGGGTCAGTAATATCTGCCACCCATGCTGCCCTCTGAGTGGTGCAAGCAATATTAGTAACTTTGATGTAGCTAACCCCAGTACACAGGAGGATGGAATGAGCCTGAGAAAGCTGGTTAACAAGCATTCATGAAGCACCTGCTGTGGGCCAGGAAGCTCACAATGCTTCTGTGCCGTGGTCTCGCCCCATATGACTATGAGGTTCTGTGTCCCCTTCCCCTTTCTTCCTGATGAGGTCTTTGTTTCATAGGTCTTGCTTGCAGCTGATCACGGATTGTCCCCGGGCTGTTCAGGAGGAGCTTGATCTCATTCGCGCCCTTGGGTACCTTGAGGAGTTTGGGGTGAAGAGCCTTCCTTTGCAAGGTGAGATTTCCTCTTCTTTGTCCTCTCAGGAGAAATATTCTGATGGCCCCGGTTAATTTACTTCTGGTCCATTAGCACTGTTGTTTCAGATTTAAGTCATGCCCAACTCTCTGTGACCCATTTGGAGTTCTCTTGGCAGAGATACTGGAGAGGTTTGCCGTTTCCTTCTTCAGCTCATTTTTCAGATGAGGAAACTGAGGCAGACAGGGGTAAGTGACTTGCCCAGGGTCACCCAGCTAGTAAGTGTCTGAGGTCAGATTTGAACTCAGGTCTTTCTGACTTCAGGCCTGGTGCTTTATCCGCTGTGCCACCTAGCTGCTCTCCATTAGCATTGAGGTCCATTAAAAGAAAGAAATGAAATATTCAGGCAGTTGTATCTCTGGGGCTTCTCTTTTGTGACTGAACCCCATGCCATTTGTAATGGTTTAAAAGCTGATTAAAAAAATATTTGTACTGTCAGAGGCAGCAGGGTGTTGTGGATAGAGCTGGCCTTAAAGCTGGGAAGACGTGGGTTCAAGTCCTGCCGCTACCACCTGCTGGCTGTGTGGCCCAGGGTGTCCCAGATTGTTTGCTGGGGGTGTCACCACAGGGCAGGTGCTGAGCCGCTTCAGCGGAGGGAGCGTCCTCACTTGGGAATTCCCTGCACCATTGAAAGCACCGGCCCAGGCCCCATCCCAGGTCTGGCCTCGCATGTACTGTTGGCCTCGTTTGTCAGACGTGTTGGGATGAAGCATGGTGCTGGGCAGTCAGGCTTTTAAAAAATCAAATGCTCGTTTCCTCCACGGAAGGTCATCCAGCCTCCTTGTGGCCGGTGGGAGTCTGGGCCTTGTGACTCCATCCCATCCTGTGACAGACCCCCGATGTGGGCCGGCACCCTGACCTTGTCGCTGGCTCCCTGGGGGGCCGTCCGGCCTGTGAAACAAGAGGCTCCTCCTGCTGGACTCCAGGCAGCATGTTAGCACTAAGCCTAGAATCGTGTCATTGCATCAGATCCCAAGCATCTGTGCATCCGTGAGGGAGGCCCCTGCCTGGGGACAGAGCCCAGTGAAGACCCACCTGAAAGGGAAGGGGCGGGAAGGCAGGTGCTCCGTGGAGATGAAGGTGAAAACTCGCCCCGAGGCGACTGCCCTGAGCGCAGCGAGCCAGAACGTCGGCATGTGTGCTCAGTTCTGGATTCTCCTGGCTGCCTGTTTTCTGTCTCGGGATGAGAAGGGAAGAAGGAGGATGATTCCCACGTGATTTCGCTGTGAGGTGGCCTCTTTGACCAGACGTGGTCCACCAGAATGACCCTTCTCCGAGCCGCCTGACTGGGCAACTCTAGGGAGGGAGTGCCCACCATCCCTGGCAGCAGCCTGCTCCACTCTGGGACGGCGCCCACTGGGTCGATGTCATTGCTGACTTCAGCCTCAGTAGTCCAATGTGAGTTGCACGCGTTGCCCGTCGTTCTGCCTGGTGGGACCCAACAGAACAGTCCCCTTCGTGTCAGCAGCCCTTGTGCCCTCCCAAGGGCTTCTCTTGTCCGGGCCAACCCCTCAATTCCTTCTCCTGACCCTCACATGACAGGGACCCACTCCTTTGGGAAATCTCCAGCTCACCAGCGTTCTTTCCAAGATGGACTTCTCAGAACTGAACGTGGCGCTCTGGAACACGGGTAGCGAGGGCAGAATACAGTAAGACAGTTGTGCTGCTTTTCCCTGAAAGCCCTGCCCCTTTGGTGGCTGCCGCCTCGTGCTGCGGATTCCAATGGAGCCCCCAGGTCTCCTACAGACTGACCACTCTTTAACCATTTGGTCGCTGAGCGCCATCAGTGCCAGACAGCAGATGGCACAGTGCTCCTCAGGGCAAAAGGGGGCCAGTGCGTAAATGCGAAGGGGCTGATGTGGCCAGAGCAGGGCTCCAGGACAGTCATTGTGGCTGCTGTGAGGGGCCACCCATGAGTGGGGAGAGACTGGAAGCCAGGAGGCCATTTGGAAGGCTTGTGCTGGGAAAGGCAGCGAGCCTGGGGAGTTTCACCAATATGGCGGCATTTGGGCCGGCCTTTGATGGATGGGAGGGATTCACAGCCTCCGAGAATTCGAGGTAGAGACCTTTGTGGTTGGCTGAGCAGGTGGGGTGGGGTGGAATGATTGTGAGGATTCATGAGTCATCCACTGGGGTTGAGTATCAGAAACACCAAGGAAAGCTTTGTGAGAGAGAGAGAGAGAGCTTCATTGTCGGGGTGTCCCATTGGAACAGTTGGGACCCCAGGCCACGGAGCTTGGACGCCATTTGAAGGATTTTTGTCAGTGCAGTGACGTGGCCAGAGCTCTGACTTAGTCTGTCCTCAGTGCCCAGCAGTGCTATGCCCTGTACAAGTCCAAGCCAAACCCAAGACAGCCCCTGCCCCCTGGCAGCTTACACTCTGATGGGGGAGAGAGCACAGAACAGGGAAGGGGAGGGAGCAGTTACCCTCACGGGATTTTCCTGGAGAAGTCAAGAGCCAAGCCATGGGAGGCTGGCTTGGAGGTGCTGGGAGGAGCTCACCCATTGGGGTAGGGGGTCAGGGGCAGAGGCAGCTTCTGGTGTGAGAAGGCTGCTTGAGTACGGAGAAGGCAAGACTCAGGAAAGGAGGGAAGGAGTGTTGGAAGTTACTTGGCACACGTGGGAGGCATGCAGTGGGTGTCCCACCCTGAACCAGCCTGGCTGTGGGACCTTAGGGAGGGTCCCCCCTGTTGTAACTGAGGGGTCAAGGAGTGGAAAGAGTCCAAGACAGTGCTTCCATCAGGCAGACCTAAGCCTCAAAATGGGGCCCTTGAGGTACTAGAGCAATCCAAGCTCATTTAAACAAGAAAGAGATCTCAGAAAGCCGAGCTTCAGTTATCTGGAAAATTCCCCTTTGGGGAATTGTTTTCTGTGTGTAACAGGAGAGGGTTGGCCTTGATTGCATGTGCTGTGGCCCAAGCTTCCTCCTCAGCTTAGGATTCTGTCATTCTAGCAAGTCGGGGCACTGCATTTTGATGTCTGATAGCGACTGCCCCGGGGACCCCTGTGGGCATGTCTGCCTGGCCCCTGGGTGCTCTGACACCGTCAGCTAAAAGCTGGGGATCCCCTCTCTCCATGGGGTGGCCTCTGTGCGCATGCCCCTGCCCATGTCCTGGGAAGGCCTGCGTGCTGCTCACCCTCGCTGGGGGGTTCCTCGGCCCCTTCCCCCTTCTGCCCGGCTCTGCTCATTAGCATGCTCTTTTTTGGAACAGAAACCTGCCTCGGTTGGGCTTTTGCTGGCTGGTCTTAGCATGTGGGCTGGGGTCTAACCCTTCATCCCCTGGACAACCTGTTACCCAGCTGGAGATGGACCCCAGCCCTCTGGCCTTGCCTGTGGTCGTCCCCAGCCGCATTCTTTAAGAGTATGTGGGTAGCGTGTGTCACCGTCATCATGCTGCTGTCTGTGTTACAAGTATTCCCTATCTGATTCCCACAGTAACCCTGGGAGGTCAGTGCTGTTATTCCTATTTCATAGATGAGGATACTGAGGCAGACAGAGGGGAAGTGACTTGCCCAGGGTCATCCAGCCAGGAAGTGTCTGAGGCTGGATTTGAACTCTGGTCTTCCTCTGTGCACTGTGGTGCCCACCAGCTGCCTCTGACCTCTGGGCTCTGTCTTGTGGTTCTGTCTGGAACGGGAAAGACACTGGCCTGAGCTCAAGGAGATTTTGGCAGCTCGGGCTGAGTGCTGGGTCTGGAGTCAGAATGGCTGAGTTCAGAGCACGCTGCAGATGTTACCAGCTCTGTGACCCCGGGCCAGACCCTTCAGCCCCCTGAACCTCAGTTCATTCCCCTGAATAATGGGCATAGTAACAGAACCTCCTACTGTTATCTCTTCTGATCTTTACAAAAGCCCCAAGGGTTATAAAATGCTAAACCTGGTATACGGTAAGCACTTAATAAATGCATGTTTCTAAGAGAAAAAGAAAAAGAAAAAGAAATGCATGTTTCTCTTGTTTGAATCCCAGGTCAGCCCCATTTCTCACAGACTCTGGGCAGGTTAGGATTCACCTCTGAGCCTCAGGGCCCTCCCCTGCAGAGTAGAGACTGCACTTGGAGGCAAAGCTCAGTGTTCAGAGAAGGAGGCTTTTCTGGGCAGCTTGGGCCGTCAGAGGCTTGTGGAGTGCTGGTCAGGGCCACCTCTTGTCACACGGCTTTCGCATCCCCACAGAGGAGGCTCCTGCTTGGAGGCTGAGTTCCCGAGCCTCCAACACCAGACTGTCACGTCCCCTTTGCCCGATGACACCAGAAGGGCCCTGGGGCGGCTGCTTCCTCCCAAAGCTCGGCCTTGGGTTTGAGCATCCCAGGACGTTCTCCACATGGGAGCGGCTTAGTAAAGAAGCCTCACAGCTGTGCTGGTTTTGCCCAAACCCACACACTCTTTTACTCTGGTTCTTTCCTTTTTAATTTTTTTAAAAAAGAGCCAGATTTAACTCAGACAGATTGCTCTGCTAACCCAAACGCGGCGCAGCCCCCGAATGCTAATGACTTTTGCAATTTTCAGTGAAGCCCTGATCTTTTTGGGTGGTCGATCAGTAGCGCTTTGAGTGGCGATGAGTGTTTGCACAGCAGCTGCAGAGTGTGATTGTCTGGGAGTTACACCAACTGTTCCGTTGTGACTCCGAGAACTTCTCCCGGGAGCTGGCGGCGGCAGCAGTCGTGAGGACGCGCTGGCGCTGTGATGCTTCGCTCATCCAGAGACTCCCATCACAATACCCGCCGTCGCCGTCGGAGACGCCTCTGCTGCGGGGCTCCTCACGCTGTTCACGCCTTCCCAGGGCTTGCGGCTGCACTGAGAACGGCAGGCCTTGGCGTGGCATGTTTGTCATTTGGCAGACCGTGGTTTTCTTTCTTTCTTTCTTTCTTTTTTTTTTTTTTTTGGTGAGGCAGTTGGGGTGAAGTGACTTGTCCAGGGTCACACAGCTAGTAAGTATCAAGTGACTGGTCTGAGGCCAGATTTGAACTCAGGTCCTCCTGACTCCAGGACTGGTGCTCCATCCACTGTACCACCTAGCTGCCCCCAGTTTTCTTCTGTTTGCGGGGAAGGGAGTCTTTTTCCTTGATGATGTAAATGCTCCCTCATCAGTGGAAGGGAGACAAAATCATCTGAGCTAACCCTGACTAATCTAGGGATGAGAAGGGTCTGGTTGTTCAGAAAGTGTGGACGAAGCTCTGCAGAAGGGGCCGTGCAGGGACAGGTGGCAGTTCCCCAGGCGGAGGCGAGGCGGGGCCGGGGGATGCGAGGACTCACTCCACTCTGGGCATTAGTGTTTGCTCTGATTCTTCTGGAGTTGGCCGGTGGCTGATTACCTCTTTGGTTGCCTTATCTTGGGCAGTGGTAAGCCCACAGCCTGCGTCCTCGGGGCACACACCGGATGTGACCTCGGAGCCTAGCTCGTGAGGTCGTGGCTCCAGAGTGGGCCGCTGAGGCCCAGAGAGGTGACGCAGGTGGTGACGGTCGGGCGTGGTCCTGTTCTTCTGCATCCTTGGTTCTGCCCCTGCTGCCCCGTCAGAGGAGCGGCAGTAACGGCACTTGCCCCCGGAGGTGCCAGTCTCGGGGTGTTTTCAGGCACAGACCGTGCTGGGCTCTCGGCTGTGGCAGGGCACCCCGTCCTGCACCCTGTCCCCCGTTACAGCTGCTGCAGCCTCTCCCTCTGCCTTCTCTCGCAGTGCGTCTGTGCCCGGATCGTCTCAGCATCATCGAGGAGTGCATCGCCCAGGCCCCGACCTGCTACAAGCAGTCCGCCAAACTACTGGGACTGGCCAGCCTGCTGCAGGTAGCAGGTAAGCCGCCAGATGTTACGCTGTGATGCAGGGCTCTGTCTGGGGGGCGGGGGCAGAGGGCATCCTGACAGACCCCTCCTGGGACAGAGGCCCCCCTGCACCAGGCCTGGTACCCTCAGCTGATGCGGATTCCTGCAAAGAACATGCGGTGGCCGTTGTTACGCTTTGTCCAGTGAGGATTCTGGGATCCGAATGCTGTCAGTGTTCTAGTGGACTCTGAAGGTTGGGGGCAGTGCAGGTACTGGGCAGGCCACTGGGCCAGGAGGCAGCAGTCCTGGGTGCCAGTCTTACCTCTCCTGCCCTTCAAGGGTAATCCTGTCATGCCCTTTCTCTGGTCCCCAGGTCGCTCCCCAGAAAATGATGGGGGGAGGTTCTTTGTGGCCCCTTCCAGCTCTGACCTCTGCTGACTTCCCCGCCACATGCATATACACATATGCACGCACATGCACACACATGCATGAATGAATGCACATACACAATAAGACAGACACAGACACTCATTCATAGTACTGGACTCACATGCACAGTACACATGTGGTCACACAGACACACGTGAACGTACACATGTGTACACAGATGCAGACACATAGTCTTCACACACTGACTTTAGGGTCCTGCTTGATTACAGCCCCTGCAAGGTGGCGGTGTGATCTCATCCTTCATTGCCATGTGTAAGAGGGCCTTCCCACAGGGAGATTACCACCCCAGAGAGGGGCAAGTGCGCGTACTTCAGGGCAGGCCCGATGCCGCAGCCGTGGCTTGGTCGAAAGAGCCCCACGGGGCTTCGGAGGAAGCCTGCTCTTTCCTCCCTTCCTCCCTTGCCCTATGTGACCTTAGGCAGGTCCCTGAACTTCCCTGGGCCTCAGTTTTTTCAAATGTCCACGAGGGAGTTGGGCTGGATGGCCTTCTAGGTGAGCCAGCCCTTGAGCCTCTGGCCGGACGCCTTTGGTGACTGGCAGCTGCTGCCGGTCGTTTGGTCAGTAAACATCGCTGAAGCACCTCCTTTATGCCAAGTGCTGACCTGGACAGTCCCTGCCCTCAGGGAGGTCACCATCTAATGGGAGAAGACCATACAGAAAACGGCTGGGAAGTGAGAGAAGGAGGGAGGAAGGTCCCTGGGCCCAGGGCAGGGTGGCGTCCGGCTCCCAGGGAGCAGTGGGTGGCCAGTGAAGAGGCAACTGGCCTGGGGGCCTCCTTGTGGGGAAGCTGTGGGAGGAGCGGCCCTCTCTGAGCCCCAGCCTCTAGTCAAGACTCGTGGGCAAAATGGCGGCAGGTGGGGAGCGTCTCTGTGGCGACTTGCTGCTGTGAGGGCCGGCTGTGACTAGAGCCAGGGACAGGAAGGCTGGCTCTGGTTCTTCCCTCGTGGCCCAAGCCTAGCACCTGCCATGCGTCCAGCAGGGACCTCCTGGGGAAAGGGCCGGGGAGGTGGGTGGTGGTCGAGCGGCGCTTCGGGCAGTGTGAGAAGAGCCGGACCCTCGGTGCCGGGAAAGCCGATGAAAGTTATGCTGGCCCTCTCCATCCTTCCCAGGCGACCCAGCTCGGCCCCTAGACTCCTCTTCCTTTCTCAGATTTTGCTGTTTTGGGGCTCATTGGCTGAACTTGCTTGACATTTTTGTCTCTGTGTAGTGGGGCACGAGCGCTCCAAGTTCTGCTCCTGGCTGGGCCCCCTCTCTGCTCCCACGATCCCGAGATGCTTGTGGTCCCAGGGCACTGGCGAGACAGAGACCCAGAAATGACCAGCTGGGAGGATTCTGTCCCATCTGGCCCAGCAGAGACCTCCCGTGGGCCATAGTCCTCCCCTCCCATGGGCCTTGGGCCTCCCCTACAGTCGGCCTCCCTTCCTGTGGGCCTCCCCTCCAGCCAGCCTCCCTTCCCGTGGGCCTTGGGCCTCCTGTCCAGCCGTCCTCCCTTCCTGTGAGCCTCCCCTCCCGTAGGCCTTGGGCCTCCCCTACAGTCAGCTTCCCTTCCTGTGGGCCTCCCCTCCAGCCGGCCTCCCTTCCCGTGGGCCTCCCCTCCCGTGGGCCTTGGGTCTTTCCTCCAGCTGGCCTACCTTCCCGTGGGCCTTCGCTCCCATGAGCCTCTGCTGTCTCCTTCGCCTGCCGGGGGTCAGAGAGTCTTTCCTAGCCCCACCTGCCCTCCCGTCATGGCACAGTCCTGCTGGGCCCTTGTCTTTCAGCCTTTCCCCCACCATCTCCCAACTCCTCCCACGCTCCTCCCTCCTCCCTCTCCCTCATCCCATCCATTCAGTCAGGTGCTAAGGGTGCTGCTTTCATTTTTGCACCGTCTCTCCCACATGCCCCCTTCTCTCTTCTGACCCTGCCCCTACCCTGGCCCAGGCCCCCACCGCCTCACGCCTGGACCAAGGCAGTAGCTGCTGGGGCTCTGCCTGCCTCAGTCTCTCCCCTCCAGTGCGTCCTCCATCTAGCCACCAGAGGGATTTTCCTGAAGCTCAGGCCTGACCATGTCACCCCATCTTTCCCATTCAGTAGACTCCAGGGTCTCCCTGTGGCCTCCAGGAAGAGACTCAGAATGCCCTGCTGGGCCTTCAGAGCCCTTCCTGCCCCAGCCCCCTCCTGCCTCTCCAGTGTTCTCACACCTCACTGCCCAACACAAACTCTCATATTCAGTGACCCAACCCCGGGGCTGCTCCACGAACAAGACCCTCCATCTCCTGGCTCTGGGCTCTCTCCGTCTGCCCTCTGTGCCTGGAGCGCTCTCCCTGCTCAGCTCTGCTGCTGCCCTCCCTGGCGTCCTCCAGGTCCCGGCTGAAGTCCCCCTTCTCCAGGGCCTTGCCTCCATTCATTATTTCCTCTGTGCTGTACCACAAGATGCTTTGCATCAGATCAGGGTCTCCTCTGATGGTCTCAGATCCCTCTTCTCCCAGGCCACAAAGCAGCCGTCCTGGCCCAACTGACCTGCATTGTTTCCCCTATCCGGTGACAACCAGCTTTGCTCTGCAAAGTCACGTGAATTAGACGTCCTGCATATTTTTTACTTTGAATTTTGATCGAGTGAAAAGTGAGATAGAAATAATTGGACCCAACTTCATGTTCTCAAAAAAAGTCCAGGGCTTTGGCACTGATGCCCTGTCCTCCTTGTTACCAGTGCTGACCAAGAAAGCCCAGACAGGCCCTTCTGAAGCCTTTCTCTGGTCTTGGCCCATTTGGACATCTGGTGTTCCTCACTCTGCCCTTACCCTCCTTCATCCTTTGTTCACATTGGGTTAGGGTTAGAAATGAATCACATTTAGGGTTAGGGTTAGGGTCCTGACTGTGCTGGATGACAGTTCTGTTTCCTGAGAGTAGGGAGTGTTCATGTGTGACCTCGGGATGAATGGAGGCTCGAAACTGTCCACGTGTGACCTTGGGGTGAATGGAGGCTCAAAGCTGTCTACGTATGACCTTGGGGTGAGTAGAGTCTCAAAGCTGTCCACGTGTGACCTGGGGGTTAGTGGAGGCTCAAAGCCTCCACGTGTGACCTCAGGGTGAGTCCACGTGTGACCTCGGGGTGAGTGGAGATTCCCCACCTGCCCTTGGATGCCTGGCCTTCACTGTCCCCCTGCTTGGGGATCTGGCAGGCAAACTAATAAATATCTCCTTATGTTTACTTGTTCACACACTTCTAGCATCTAAAAGAGCTGGGTCATCCTCATGTACAACCAGCGGGAAGAAATTAGAGGTTGTCAGGTATCTCTAATGAATTCTCTGGGCTATTCTCTTCATTTCCTTGTCCTGGTGAAAGTGAGCATTTTCCTTCATCAGGACTTTAAAAAAAAACAAAAGAAAACACTCTGAAAATTACTATTTCCCCCTGTGTTTTCCACAGTGTTGCTCATGCAATAATCTCTGTAAAATCTTGCCATCTCGGGAAAGTCATGTGAATTTGACTTTTACATATTTTTTATTTTGAAATCAAGTGAAAATGAAACAGAAACAATTGTGCCCACGATTGATCTTCTTAAAAGAATCCAGGGCCTTGGCAGTGAAGGCCTATCCTCTCATGTGGACTGTGAAGGCCTGGCAAGACCTTTCCAAAGCAATTACATTAGAAGTAGGTTTTCTCCCCAGGGTGGTATTATGCGCAGTTAGAATTGAGAAAGGCTGACTCCATTTGCTCCATAAGACTTGTTACGACCAAAAAAAACGAGCGTAAATTCATCTCGTAATAAAAATAAGTGTAGGACTGGACAATTTGGTGTTGCTTTTTGGGGAGGTTTTTGAGAGTAGGGTAGACAAATATCTGCCTGGGATGGTTTAACCCTGACCTCCTTGGAAGCTAAGGGCTGGTGTAGACGTCCTCTCAAGGCCCTTCAGTGTGGATGTCCTGGGGGTTATTCTCTGTTAACACCTACAAGGGTCATTTAACTTGGTGTGTGTGTGTGTGTGTGTGTGTGTGTGTGACCTTTAGGATGGCATCTGGGGGCGTACTGAGCAGGGATGTGACAGGGTCTGAGCTAAGCTTCAGGACAGTCATGTTGGAGGCTTGTGTGGAGAATGTGGTCATCCTGGAGGCAGAGTGGTTGAGGGCCATTGTGCCATCATCCAGGCTCACCAAAGTGGCTTGGGTCTGCAGGTGGGGCCTGATGCTGAATTATACGAGTTTCATGGGATTTTCAGGTTGATCAGAACCAACAGATGATTGAGCCCAATCCTCAATGGTCTCCCGGGAGGATTTGGGGGCCACGGTGGGTTAGATGATGTTCCCAGAGGGATACTGCAGGTTAATCTCTCAAGAATATTTGCAGTCCTTACCTTAGACACAGTAGGTATGTGATAAATGCTTACTGAAGTGACTTCTGGCCTAGGAAATAGCCAATGGCCGTAACCTCGGATGATGGGGCCAGTTAGGTTGGACACAGTATGTCCAATGTCAGTACCTCCTTCAGAAGCTGTGGGAGGCAGCAGGGGCGTTCCTGGTGTGAAGCCTCATTGCCCATCTGGCCGCACCGCCCCCTGAACCTCATTGTCCTCCAAGTTCTCTTCAGCCCTGGGCTTCCCATC